TATGTCGTGGAATACTATGGTTTGTAAGCAATAGGAATGAAACAATTTTATATTATAATCATTCTATTAGTGTTTGAGAATGTCGTGTTATTTTGTTTACTTGCAGACTACATGATTACTGTCACTATATAAATTTCATTATTTAGTTATCGATTTTTGTAGTTTTTATCCATTCAGGGAATCAATAACGACTTCAATAAAACCAAATACTCAATTTATGGCTTTGGATTTTGTCAAAAGGCCAAATACTCAACGGTCATTTTATCAACTAGGTTACATTCTTAAAGTGAAGTCTTGGAATAATAAATTACGGTAATTGTAGGATAACATACTTATCAAATTTTATAATGAAGAGTTTAGCAAATGAATGAATTTTATATTTGTCATTGGTACTCGATGATTACAAATAAATTATAGTTTTCAACGACTTTATAAATGATTGAATCGTCTCTAACTTTAAAAGTTAACACATGTAATATGGTAGGTAACTAGTAAAGTATAAGATGCAATACAAATGAAAAATTAGTTTAACCAAGTTTTTGATACGTGGATAATACAGTCAAAAGACCATATAACTCATATCGTTTTTCCTTTTTTAATACTTTGGCTAAATCTATCTGATCGTAAAATGATATTAAAGTTTTGGATAACTATAATTATGATTCGAAAGTTAACGTTCATTTCCTACTAAACAAATGGATAAAAAACCCTAGTTATTCATTAGTAGACTAATAAAAACAGATAATTTTGGTTTCTTAATGTCACAATCATTTTTCCATCTTTTACTGACTTGATAACGAAAAATTCTCAAATTTGACATTAAGACAACCCCCCCCCAAAAAAAACAATAAAATAATTTCAAGTTGCGTGTTTTAATTCAAAACGAAATAATCCTATTGATAAAAGAATAAAATTGATATAAAAAGTTAGTTATTGGTTAGTTTTTAGTGGTTTTGTTGTGATCATTGTTTATCTAAAGAGTATTATTTGTAATTTATTAATTGTGGACAATAAAAATCAATAAAATCAATCTTGATTCCCTTCTTAATGATGAACATTTAAAAGGGTGATTGCTCTGTTGAGAAAATATTAGTGACTTTATGAGTCAAATAATCAAAGTACCCTTACAACTCATTTTTATTTGTCAATGTTTTCATTCAAATCATCTACTGTGTTCATCTACTGTAATTGAAATGTAATACAATCATGTGAACCAGTGTTTTAAGTTATCTTCTAGTGTACAAGTTGTAACAACACCTTTAAGAAAACTAAATTACTACTTATTGAGTATTATATTAAGTCCATAGTCTTTACATTTTTCTAAATGATATTTATTAATTAGAAAACATTAGAAAAGTGTAGCGAATTATCTTGTTTATGTACTTTAAGTGTATTTTAAAGTTTCTAATAATTACCGCAGTAAATATCAGTCAATGGAGATAGTTTTTATCTAAGCTAACACTAGGAGTGAAATTATATTATCAATAACAGTTTCTGAATATAATAAGTTTAGCTTAATTACTTTCATTAAACAATAAATGAAACTTCAATATTCTCATGTTTTTAATGAACATTTCAAAATATTGTTTAAAATGAATGATCTTTCGTCATTCAAGTAAGTGGTAATATAGCAATTTTAACATTAAACTAAGTTATGATAATATTTTTATACGGTAATTCAGAAGAATTAGATTTGATTCCCGAAAGCTCTTAGTAGATCGATGTATGCTCAGAAAAAAAAGTCTTTGAAGGGTCTAACATCCGTTAGAAAACACCACAGATACTGTTAGCAGCAGAAAATAAAATAATTCGACGTTGTATAAAACAGTGAACTACATCTTATAGCTTAGTAAAAAGGTTTTACATTCCAAAGATATTAACCTCCATCGTAAAGGGTTTTGCTAAAAAGCTGATTTATGTGTTATAACTGTTACACTGAAGTTATGTTGGTATCCGATAATTAGTGTACTTAGTATTGAATCAGAAAGGGGTTTCGTGAAGGTTTTAGTAATTTTATAGAGTTGAGATCATGAGTAAATTGAAGCTTGACCACCATGGGAAACCTGGAAGCACTGAACGACCGTTTTGTTCTATTGCGTGGCTCCTCAACAGTGCGCATCCATGATTCCACATCGCGAGATTCGAACCCAGGACCTATCAGTCTCGCACCGGAGCACTTAAGCGATAGACCACTGAGCCGGTATTTAACGCTGTTAATGTCTAAATTCAACCGATCCACGAAATTGAGCAGCCATCAATGAGTTATCTCCCAACAGACCTGGTTAAACTCCACTGGTTACCGCTTCTCATTAGAACTCCAGGAAATACCTCATAGAGCCAGTCACTAGTGAGCACATGATCATTATTAGAACGGGTTTGGTCGAGGTTACAGTAGATTTTAGTAGAAACTCTCTACTCCAATACTTGTATAAATTTGTTATAAACTAAATATAACTGGTGATAGTCACAATATTATAGCATTATAATAAATGGTTTGTTCTTTACAACCCGTAAGTTACATTGAACAATTTTAAGTTCACTTCAATATGCTTAGTTCATACGTCAGTTCAACAATGTTCATCTACAAATTTCACTCTGTATATTTTGTAAAATTATATCTTCTAATTCATTCTAATCAGGCTTCTCCAAACAATATACACGTGGTTACACATGATGACTATTGTGTTGTTGACACTTGAATCTTTGAATATTTGACATCGCATTGAATTGCAGTCATTTTTTGGTAAGTATATACTATGAATTCTCTTTTAGTGAACAAATATTTATTTATTAAGTATATGAAGAGCAGATAATATCGAGGACTACTTTGTATTCTCTTCAGTTGCAATTTATTTCAACAAATATTTCATTATTTATTATCCTAATGAATAAAATTAATTGAATATGTTTGAAGCGTTTATGTAAAAGCATGCTTGAATACAATTATGACAAATTAAGCAATTAATTCCCTTTATGAATTTAAATAAAGACAGAACAAATATTGATGCAGAATAATATGAATTCATTATATTTCGTGGTTTCTAATCAGCTGCTTACAACCAAATATGCATTAGAGTTTTAGCATTGGGGTAATAAATAGTGTGGAACAATTGACATAAGTGAATGTAGAGGATTGGAATGATAAAAGGTTATCAATGATAACGATATATAGATAGATATATGTGCAAGAAAAGGTCAGAGGTTATTAGGTATTGGAATCAAGGAAGCATAAAAGGGTGGGTGGTTTAGTAGTTGAATGAAGTTCAAAGACAGATAAGATAAATTGTGCGATAATTATAGAGGTAATCAAGGAGTCATAGAATTAAAAACAAATAGGATGGGTATGTAATAATTGAATAGAATTTGGGGAGTTCATATAATTAAAGAGAAACAGTTGAGCGGAAAGATGTAAGTGAAAGGGTGGTTTAAGAATTGGGTAATAGAAGAGGAATATAATACAAACTAAATTTTAACCAAAATAAAACTAATAACCAAAAATCTAAAACAAATCATCTCACTTTTAATGGACTAAATGTTATTCTTAATGATCACTTTATATTATCCTTTAAATTTGTTTTGATAAGTATTAAATGAAAATGAATAGATTTATTAGCCTATTTTATTTTTATTACCATAATTCATTTCTATAATTTGCAAATATGACAAAATGCTAATTTCTTTGATTCGTTACCTTTTTTGCTTTTATATTTAATGTTTATTTTGAACGTGAATAAGTAACATTTAGTTTGCAATTTTCCAAATCAAATAATATTTCTGTACATTATTTTACATTAAGAAAATGAAGATATTCGAAGCATTATAAAAATGGTTTCTAACTCCGCTTGTAGAACCTCCGGGGGCTACTGTCGGTTCCAAGCCCGGATACAAAAGGAGGGTTGAGGATGCGTTTAGTGACCCCCTCCCATAAAAAACTAACTCGTTAAGAAAAAACGCCAAATAGTTTCTACATTTTTCTATTCTAATCAAAATTCATAAATATAAACTAGATAACAGATACATCAATAATGATGGACTGAATTTCGTGTGGAATTTTTTATTCCAACAAATAATAACAACTTAAACCCAAACATAAAATAATAATCTTTCTTTAATATTTTGTTTATTATTTTGTAAATATAAAACCTAATATTTATAAATTTTGTAAACATAGAAATATATTTAAATGGAATTGCATAATCCTGATAATAATAACATTTATCACGTCAGATATATAGATCATTTAAATAATGACTGTTTTAGTTAATACAAAAGATTGTAATTATTATCATTTCTATCTAAACATTTAAATGTTTGATCCAATGTGTTTGTTATATTGTATGCACTTAATAGTTCAATACAATTAAACTCAGACTATAATTATATAAGCATGTGCCAATGTCCAAAATGAAAACTTAATAAAATTTATGTAGTATAGTATTGAACAGTGTTTAATATAATCTCACATATAAGAGAGATGTAAGACTGCCAGTTTTCTAAACGTTAGTCTCTTTCAAAATTTAGATGGAATAGATCGGTTTTGTTAGATCACGAATAACATACAATCATATTGGAAATAGTGTGATTGTATTTGTTAGGTGACTGTTAGTTGTCGACTGCAAACTCGGAACCTAGGTTTCAAGCTGATTAGCACTGATCGATTGGAGAGTACCTATAACATTTAGTGGACTTATGTTTTCCAGTAGATTTTAACACTCGTTACGCAGCTTTGAAGTTTGAGAGATTACCACTGAACTGTTTCGGAAACTGTATTGTATTCAATTTATCTCAATTGTATTCCTGTAAGTTAATACTATATGATAAAACATAATGTTCATTTCCCTAGACTGAAATATTTATCACTTGTTAAACTATAATTTACGTCAACATTTAATTTTCAACAAATACTAGTGCTTTGAAACCGCCAACGGATTTCTCTTTGTGTGTTAGCTACTAACAACATATCTTGACTGTACCAATTAATTTCTCGAACTTTTTATTAACAGTTTACCATATTATCACTGTTTCACGGATAGTGGTGCAATTATAAATATTTAAATGTATGTCTAAAATACCGTCAGTCTAGTGGCTTACGAGAGGTTACATTTTAAAAACACAGTGAACAATAAATGGAAGTGTCTTGCAGGCAGGAGATAAACTATTAAAAATATTTCACAATTTCAAATGTTTCGGTAATATTATCTCCCGAAGATTTTAGCACAATCCGTTTAATAAAGCATTACATAGAGTGGATACAGAGAAAAAAATAGGGAATAACTCTGATAGTCTGTATTGAAAAACAGAGAAGTTGTAATGAGTAACTTCTTAAATAACTAGTTTGAAGGTGGTATACCTTGCCAAAAGCATAAATACCCGGTGGTCAACATCTGAATGTGATGTACGTATGAAGAGATAGAGAATGGCTTAGTGAAACAATGTATATGTTCTGCTTCCGGGAATTATGAGCTGGTCTAATAACAAAGAAATCTCATTAGCTATGTGGTGCATGCTGCTTAACAGATATAAGTGGTATGTAGCACTGATCGGATGTGAAATGCATGCCAGCAGAAGGTTGAGAAGATCTAAGTGCTGAAAACAGAAATGGAAACCAAAAGCAATTGTAGTAACAGAAGAAATGAAAGAATCATGATGTATGTAAAAAGCAACTGATAGATGTGCAAATTATGAATTTGATGTATGGAGTTCATATTCTATGAAAGTACTCTAGAATTTTCGCACCAAACAATAAATCAGCTTCCTCACCTGAGTTCTCGTTCACTACAGCTGTTTACTTAATTTTACAAATAAATGATTTTAGATTGACCAGTGTATTTAAAGTTGATGTTTATGTAGAGTGCTTATCAACTAGTTCCCGAGATTAACATTATTACTACTAAAAAAAGCAGACATCTGACATTTGGCAACAGGATTGTCGAAACAAATTAATATTCGACCAACTACTTTTTGCTTCTTATGTATTCTGTATGGTAGGTTCTTTGCAAAACATTTCATCCATGTTTATGTTACGGATAAATAGTCTATAAAAATCAACAAAAACACCAAGGAAATAAATTGCAAGTCAAATTAGTACACAAATATTAGATTCATTCTACTTTATTGTAAATGAGAATTACTTAAAAGCAATAAATGACTGAATAATAATAATAATAGCTGTTACTGAAATCACGAATATAAGTTGTAGATTCTAATCACCGGTTTAAAACTTACCGGAATATTACAATTTAGATTGAATACTTTTAGTGCGTAATGAACAAAACTCATAAATTGTAGTCAAGTAAACAAAATAATTTTCCATAATTACCTAATTTATTTGACGATCCTAGAAAAATAAATAGAATATAAACAATTTAGAGGCGTCCTGTCTAATTACTATGAAGTTGTTTATAATTGTCTACTTTTGGTGGTAAAAATGAAGGGTAATTCTAAAGTTATATCATACTAATGTTACTGCATAATAACACAAATTCACAAATACAGAGGTGTTTTTATGAATAAAAATACATTTTATTTAAAGTAGACGCTGGTGTTTTGTTCGTATGAGTTAAAATTAGGGAATACTGATTCATAATTTTTGTTTCTAGGATTTATGCACTTTTATTTTGAATAAGATCTTGAAAATGATATGTGCTGAAGTGTGTTGGATGGTTTGTGAAAATAAATAATAGATTTAATTCCCTTTTATAGTATGATGTTCATTGTTTTACAGCTGCGTAAACAGTATTATGTAAAATTGAAACCTCATTAGAGTCGGTAACTTCTATCTGATGAACTGTCCAAATTGTAAAATATGTCTAGTAAATGGCATATTGTTATTGGATAAAAATACTAAGCTATCGCGACATTTCCAAATATCATGAATAGAAACACATAACACCTACATAAAGCTTGCGTTGAATTGTTCTTCTCACGAGATCGAATGAAAGTTTTGTTAGGTTACGTTTGTTTGTAACTGTTATGAAAAAACTGTCCAGTGCTCTTTTTGTACGTTAACTGGTTTTTTGACTGCTGTAATCTCTTGGTTAAAATGTGAAACGTAAACACCTTTTGAAAATGAATGACTGTAAATTAATACTTATCATTACTTCTCAGTTTAATTTTTAATATGTGCAATGTATGAAACAAGTTTCATTGAAAGCGATGTTTTCATTCTAAGCTAAATTTTAACAATATACGGAGATATGTCGTTAGTACGCGCTACAAATGCAGGCACTTTTTTCATGTACGAAAACACATGTTAATTGAACTGAAAATTGAAAACGTTTGTACGTCGAATGCTGCAATTTTTCGTTTCACTATTCCTGATATCGGTCAACTGCATTGTACACCATTATCTGCTAACTTCATGTACACATTGTTTGGTTACGGGCGAATAATGGTTTATCTTTTAAGAAAGTATAACGCACGATCAGTATCCATCTAGTCTATTGTACTTACATAAATGTTAAATGAATATCAATTTATTCAAGTAAGAATAATAATCAGTAGTTTCAAGAAGTGTACATAAGTATAAGCTGTAATTTATAATTTATTAACAATACTTTCTAAATTTTGAGTATCAAAGTAAATTAGGATTTTTGAAAGCTTTTTTGAAAAGGAAGCTTTTTATTCTTATATTTAGTGAGGACATCTAACATGTTAGCATTTTGAGTATGATTTTAGCTTTCATTTTCATCATTACTTACTCGGTTCGGAATTACATTTCATGTAACTATAGTTTTTGGTAACTTATAAATGCGGTAGGTCGAAAATAGCCTAATCGAACATCACATATCACTACTACAGAAACAATTTGTATAATATTGAAAACTAAACACGGTATCTCTTACATTTTCTAATAATTAAAGACAATCAGTTACCAATATTGGCTAAATTTGAGGTATTTATTCTGATCGGTACATTTATATTTGAACACGTATATCTAGATAAAAGGCCATAGAATCCATGCTTTTATATACCTGATTAATGTTACCAGTGTATTTCTTATTCAAAAGCTATCATATTTTATACAACATTTCGAAAAGATGTAGGTAGAACTTTGGTCTGTTAGGATCTACTAGGATTTATGCACATTTCTTAGCAGCCAGCTATAATGTTGCAAAGTATTTAATCAAATGTTATATCTCGACTAAGCAATAGACATTTATATACAATATTTATTTCACAAATTGTTGTTAACATCAAAAAAAGAGGGAGCTAAAGCTTCACAAATATCAACATCAATAACATCAATAGTTAAATGAAGACATAATATCAAAGGACTAATTTAAAACAGAATTAAGTCATTAAAAGAATAAATAAATAAATAAAACGTGATTTCTTTCTTAAACAGTAAACACTTGAAACGGGTTGTTCTTTTGTGAACAATAATAACAAATTATCAAGATGAAAAAATAAAATTATTTTAACAATATCACTTATCTAATATTTTTAGCTATCAATATTGTTTTGACCTCATTTATTTATTATTGTCCTCATAGTATTAGTTTTATAAATGTTTTTGCTCTACAAATGTGTTTGGTCAAGATTATGGAATTATGTATTTTAAAAATTTTCCTAAGGAAATGAAAAAAAAATTGATGTACATCTATCAAATTATTCTGAGAGGAATAACTTGAGGAATTAAAGTTAAGGAATGATTACAAATGAAAATATTCGTCAGAATGAAATTTGAAAGTCACAGAAGAACCATGTAGAAGTCAGATTGTCAAAAGCAAACCAAACTACGCAATTATTTCGTGAATAGAGAGTGTACTTTTGCAAACCCAACTCATATATGCATGATCTGTCCTTCTACTGAAATATGCTCGTTAACAGAAGAGATAATGGTTCTGCTAAAGGTTCTATTAATGAAAAGCATATGTGAATGCGTGATCACCTCTGATTTCTTAGGAACTGTTCTATCCAGAAAAAAATGAGGTTTGATTAATGGGTTATTCAATAAGATTAAAGGTGTTTGTACTAGCTATAATATTAAAAAGGAAGTGAAGATTTCAACTCAAACGTTGAGGTATAAGAAGTTTTCCTAGCAATCCGTAAACCGAAAAGAAGAGAGAAATATATTGAAGCCAAATAAACTTAAGATCAAAAATCCTACTGTTAAGGAGTAATTAAAATAACCTCGTGCCCGAAAATAACGCAAAAATAGCAATTAATTCCTTATTTTACATAATCCAGTTTATTAACATCTAGAAGTCAAAATCCATGTATCCTCAAAAGCCAAAATAGTATGTACACGAGTGTGCTACATCTAGCAATGTTCATCACTTTACATGCATTTAATGGTCTTATATCATCTGACACCATTTATTATTTTAAATTCATAATCGATATTGTTACTGATACCGCGAAAATTGAGATTGTTTTCTACATGATGAAAGAAATCTCAAAAAAGACAGCGGTAATAATTTTAATTCACCAAGATCATCTTATATATTTTACAGATATGAATTTTGATATGTTTAAATCAAAAGATAATTTCTAAATGTATTATTACACTTTAGTTAATTGAATGAATGGAAATTTATCAAGTTTTGTCAAAATGTCCAGTTCAATTTTCAAATTATAAATAAATCTTGATTAATGGATAGCGACAAAATATGATTTTTGACATTCAGGGAATTAGACAAATGTAAAAAAAGACAAATTATCAAAGCGAATAAATATAAACTTCATCGGAATACATTTAGTAGCTTTATTTGACGCACATCTGACAAATGAGTGACACCGTATACTTTGTTCATTCAAGTTTCCTTCGATCTGACCAGTGTATAATACTGTATTATCATGAAATCTGTTATTTAGTACTTATATGCTCCCACAGTAGTGGTACAGACCTAATATTCTAGTCGCTTTGTAATCAAGCTTTTTCTATTTTCCTTACATATGTAACAAAATTACTTTATATACTAATAAAGTGTCAGTAGTCATTTATTCTCAAGTCATTCTGTGTTTGTCTGTGATCAATCACGTGTACGGCGGTTAAAATAACGAAACATTCATGAGGAATACAAAGAAAAATACACCTGACAAAGCCAATGAAAACAACAATTTACAAGTGGTTTCATCGGACCAGATTCATTTATAATGTTTGAATAAATCAATCAGTTGAAGTTCAGTAGAAGTAAACTCTAATGATGTTTTCCAAAATGATTACGAAAAATTCACAGTGACATCATCCTACTCGGATGAAAAGGCACATCCACAATATCCTGTGACCATCTGGATACATAATACATGATTTCTCTACATTTACGTACTTCTGTGAAATACATAAGTGTCCCAATTATGCATCTCAAGCACCTGCTTCTAGATAATTGGTTTGTATATATTTCAGTATTACCAATATACTTTCTTTCAAATATTCATATTGTGTTATTTTATTGACAATCGTTAACATTTTCCTTTATATTTACAAAATGTTTCATTAATTAAAACAATTTAACAAAATCTGTAGTTTTATAGATTCGGGTTCTACAATTATGAACAAACTTGACAATAATTACTAAATAATATTTGAAAAACCAATTTAAAAATGACTGACATTTGAACTATCTTAAACGGTTCGCAATGGTATATTTTGGTGAACTAAGTAAAAAGAAAATTTTCTACTGTACATTCGGTTACAGTTTACTATGTCTTACAATCAGGTTTTATCATTATTGCTTCTGCTATGGATCTGTACCTTAATCACCACAGAAATGACCAAAATTATCGACAGTTTTAACGTATCCATAACCGTATGTATGTAATAATCAGTGATAATCATACAAACTTAATGAGTAGTTATGTTTGCTTACGTAAAATTAAACTATAAGAGATTGTTTACTTGAGATATACATCATACATAGAAAAGGAGACAAAAGATTTTATAATAGTCCACAATAAGTTTATAATATATTTCATATGAGAGTGAAAATGTTTTGAAACAAAACTAAATGAATCAAAACATTTATTTAATCTGCAGTTCAGCTGATATGTCTCACTTATTATCATAACAACGTAATTAATAATCGTGATA